CCTTAGGTCACTTATTTGAAGGGACTATATAAAGGACTTTATAGCCTAAAATTTACTAAGGGTTATTTTTGGGGAAAGGATGAGAACACAAGCTCTCATTTCTCTCAAAAATTTCGGCCACCTTGGAGGGATCATCTAGCAATCAAACTCCTCCAAGGTCACTCATTTCTTCTTCATTATGCCTTGGTGATGAATCATTAAAGGTTCTCAATTTTGGGAACTTGGAGAAACCTTTTCATCCATCCAAATCCATGGACCTAAGATGCAAGGAATGAAGGCCCTCTCTTTGGGTGATTAGCCTTTGCTTATGCAAAGAGGAATCTACAAAGGTATTGATTTCTCAACTCACTTTGTTTTGAGTTGAGTCTTGGTTCACCTATCTACTAGGCTTTGAAGTTCATGGGTTAAGTTTTGTTTTTGAGTGCATAGAAACATGATTCCGCCTTTTAATTGTTAATTGCATGTTGTTGATGTTGCTCAAATGAACTTGTTTTTCACAAATCTTCCTTCAGTTACTACATTCAAAATGTGTTTTAATTGATTAAATGCGAGCAAGTGAGTGGTGACTGCAACTAAGTATATGCCCGAGGGTAGGGATAGCTAAAATCTGTGGGAGTAGTGATTTTTAATATGTCATGTTGCATTGGAAATCCCTGAGGCAATTGTTGGAAGGTCTAAGTTATGTTTTGTTTTCTTTGTTTTGCTCAGGGACTAGCAAAAGCTAAGTGTGGGGGAATTGATAGGAGCATATTTATGCGACTTAGTTAGCTTGTTTTCTTGCATTTACATAGTTAGGTTCTATTTATTATAGTGATTTAAGCTATTTTCGTGTGTTTGTAGGTTTAAATGGCAAAAGAGGCAAGAAAGTGCATTTTGGTGCATTTTAGTGCAATTTTGGGCTGGAATGGATAGCGTGCATATGGAGCAAGGTGGTTAGATGAATTTGAAGTCAAAAAAGGCTAAGAACATGCTACAAATCTAGAGAAACAAGTTCAAGACAAAGAAGATAAGGAAAGAGGAACATTATCCAAACAACCTTATCTTATCCAAACCTTATCCTATCCTAATCTTGTTCCACCTTAATTCCAACTGCAAAAAGGACTTAATTTCACATTAGAACACCTAGATATATGGTCCTAGAAATGTGGTGCCTTTCCCTCTTCTAGAAGCTCTAGAACCTGCAATCTTTTTCCTTAGGGGATTGAGCAATCTTTTTCCCTTTAGATTTTGGTGCACCGTAGTCCTTTTCCCACCTGATTTCTACCAAACCCTAGACCTAATTCTGAGGGTTTGCCGTGCATCATACATATATATTTAAGTTTGTGCCGCACCCATCCATTCACTCATTCATTCATTCAGCCATCTCACACCATAATTCACACCACATACACCTAAATCTCTCTAGTGCCGCAGCAAGGAAAGAAGGAGAAGAAGAGTGTCATGCAATCTGCCATCTAAAGGGTGCCACAAGCCTACTTTGGAGTGTGGAGTGTTTCTGGGTTTTTTCTATCCTTAGTTTTAGTTTGATGTTTATTTTAATTTGGTTTTCAATTATGATGAACATAAGGAACTAATTTCTTTTTAGTTGGAGGTGAATTCGAAGCCATGATTATATGTTTTATATGAATTGATTACGTCCAGTTATTGTTTCTTGAGTCTTGAATGTGATTTGCTTATCTGAGTTATCAAAACTTGTTTATGTATGTTGATTGAGGGTCGACACTTAATTTGCATGCATGAATTTGATACTGGAGTATAGGGAGTTTCACCTAATCGTTATGAACTTATATTCACAAGTAGTGGAAGTCACTAGTCATGATTGTGTTAAGTAAATTCTTGGCATGAGTATCATGCTTTTCATAGTTACGAATGACTTGTCAATGCTTATGGTTTTCAAAGAACTTAATGACCTTTGATATGTTTTTCTATCATGCTTTTCATAGTTAGGGAACTTGATAAGGATAATTTGGTTGCGATGCGTATTTCATCCAATTCAATGAGTTAAAGGAAAATCTGAAAGTTAATTTGTGCTTTTCATGGTTAATTTGGGGCATTGTCATTCATAGTCTAAAGGAATAATAACTGGAAATTGGTTTGTATGCATATGTCATGTGTGGAGAAGGACCTTCTAACTAGCCTTTCACCCTTTTCAATTCACCAAATTCGTTTTTATAAAGTGTTTTATGCAAAGTTTTTGTTTTAAATTTTAAATTTTAATTTAAATTCATCAAAAACAATCCCCCCTTTATTAAGTCTTGTTACTTGAGTCAAAATCTATTTTCTTTTAGTCTCTTGAGTCAAGTTAAGTCGTATTTTCGTAAAAATCACTTGTTAGGTCTAGAATTTAGTCTTTTTTATTGTTTGTTGCTATTTTGAGTCAGTTTTGAGTTTATTGAGTCTAATTTAGTGTTTTTATGTCTTATTTGTGTTGATTAGCATCCCTAGTCAATCCCCGGTCTAGAACGATCCCTACTTACATATAAACTACAATTGTCCACATTAGGGTTTAATTTGTGTGTCAAGTTAATTTTCACACCACCCACCCATCCAAAACCCCACCCCACCCCCACCTTCACCTCAACCCCCCCCCCCCCGCAACCCCACCCAACCCCACCCCACCCACCTATTTCCAGCGACTTCCCCCTACACTCGCTTAGCTGCTCCCTCCGTCCAGCAATGGCGATCTGCCACCAAGGATCCCAAGCTTGGGGTCCACGCCCAATCTTGCTGTCAAGGATCCCATGGACCGCAGCGTGTAGTGGGTCTTTTTGGGCTCGCCGATAGTCGAAAAAGGCACATACACCAACCGGCTCTCGAATCTGCTCTGTTTTCCTCACATCGCCATCGAAGATCTTGTTCGTAAAGAGCTCGCTTCCTTCGGCCCTCTCTCTCAAGAGGTTTTTGAATCTTCTGATTGCCTTTTTTATTTTTTATTTTTTATTTTTGTCAGATTTGCATTTTATTGGGTTTTGATTGTTTGCGATTGTTTTATGGTGTTGTGGGGGAGGTGGGGTTGGGTGGGATGAGATGGGAGGGGAGGTGAAGAGAGTGGAGAAGAGGGAGGTGGGTCAAGGATTTTGAGTTTCTGGGTTTTTTTTTTTTTTTGATATGGTAAATATTATTATATTTTAAATGCATAAAAAATTATATTTTGCCATGTGACATAAATTTATCAGCTATGTAAGCACAAATATGGATTCTATATTTGCCACATCATCATTAAACGGTTTACTTAACATATTTTCTAACGGATGTATGAAATTGAAATAAAATGATAAGTAAATTTATGAAATTGAAATGTTTTAAAGATGTTGTGAGAAATTAAATCGATGACAAATCTAGGGGTAAAATGTAATTGATGCAAGCAGATAATCAGAACGGCCGAAGAGACCACATAATAAAAAAAGAAGGTGTGTTGCCATCCATCCGATCCCCCATTGCCCGCAAGATCCGCTCTTTCGTTTGTTCCACTACGCTTGCTTCCTCCTTCCTCCTTCTCCTTCCTCCTTCCATCCATCCATTAAAAAGGTAAATTTTCTGCCTTCAATTTGCTCTGCTGCTTCACTATCCTCAACTTTTACGCTTACTGCTTTACATCTTCATCCAATTGCATTGTCTGTTCTATTTCTCCATAATTTCGACTGAAGTTTCTAGGAATCGAGGGTTTATTTGGGTCTGTGCTTGTCTGTGTTACCCAGGTCTTGTTTCAAGCCAAAGCTTAGATTCTCAGCAGACCTTTTCTGCTCAAAGCTCTCGCTACTTTGTTGTGTTTTTTCTTCACGTGCTCATTTTTCTGTGGCTTTGATTTAAGCATATTCAATTTTTTTTCGTAATTTCGACGGAAGCTTCTAGGAATCTAAGGGCTTTTAAGTGTTTTTAGGCTCTGGGAAATTGGGTCTGGGTTTGTCTGTGTCTCTCCGGCCTTGAAGGCGGAGGTTGCGTTTGGTTTCATTAGTGTATGTTTTTTTGGATAGTAAGTAAAATACCCAATTACTCTCACCGCGTGTTTTCGTTGTTATGGGATTGATTTTGTCTGGGTCGATGCATCTGTTGGATCTAGTTTCTAATGTTTAGTCGAGGTGGCTGCATTGCAGGAATAGTACATAGTGATATTGGTTATATAACTTATATTGCAATGAAAACAAATGTTTTCGTTTTCCTCTGTTGCCACTTAATGGGCATAAGCTACAAGTTGTTTTGAATCTTGAAGGGTTGGGCCCTTGGGGCAGCTTGTCAGGGCATTGGTGATATATATTTTTTCATAAAGAACTATCGCTCTTTCTTGAGCAACAATGGGATTGTGCAACACTTTCCACCCTCTTCTCAGATTTGGAAATCAAAAGTTCCGCCGAAGGTCAAAGTTCTTGTGTGGCTAGTGGCTATTGGGAGGCTCAACACTTGTGATCAAATTCAAAGGAGAAGTCCTTTTATTTGCATCTCTCCCCATTGGTGCAGTTTGTGTAAAGCAAAGGAGGAAAGTGTTAACCACATTTTTCTTCATTGTTCTTACACGATTCAACTGTGGTGGAAATTGTTTCAGGAGGTTAGAGTAAGTTGGGTCATCCCAAAGGGTTGTTTCGAGCTTCTAAGTACTAATTTTGAGGCTCTAGGAATTGGGAGGAAAGCTAAAGCTTTGGGGTTGTCTGGTGTCGGCAGTTTTTTGGAACGTTTTGGTTGGAGCGTAACAAAAGAATTTTTGAGGATTATACTGGTGTGGGGGTAGCAGATCTATGGGGAAGAGTAAAATATTGGGCAGCCTTCTGGGCTTCAGTTTCAAATGAATTTAAGAATTACTCTCTTTCTCACATACTGTGGGATATGTTAGTAGTTGTAAAATGATTTTGGTTGAGGTTGTCCTACTTGTAATCTGATCCTCTGGAGAGATTTTCTTGTTCTGTTCTTGGTGGATTTCTTATCCACTTCTGTGTATTACACTTTTCTTTTCTAATATACTGTTATAGTTTCTTCTCAAAAAAAAATAAAGAAACAGTTCTAATCTTGGCAAACGTTGGAAGATGTAAACAGTTAATTATTTTTCTCCATCTCCTTATTGTCTGAAAAATCAATTTTTGGTGTGGCTAACTCATTATGCATTTTCGGATACTTCTTGGAAGCAGCTACATATACGCACTTGTGGATTTCATAGTGTTGTACTTGTTTCGATGTTGGGGTGATTTCAATAATTTGCAATCAGGATAGCGGAGTCATACTGACAAAAGTCCACAAATATTTCAAAACACATAATGTTATATGTTGAGAAATTTATCGTCGACCATTTTGACTAATAACGCTATCTGCATTTGTGTCGTACTATTAGCAATAAATGGATATGGGAAAAGTTGTTTTTATGTGATGCTTTAATTATTTAAAAACATACGTATACTTTGTAATGGCAGGAAACATGAGTGATTCCTCAAGTAAAGCAACTGGTCTAACAAAAGATGTCGAGATGGAGCTACCACTGCATTCAGACACGTCGGTGGAAGAAGGCAAGTTTCAATCAGTAGCTAGTGTTGATTGTTGATGTGGTGGATATTGGTTCCTCCTATTTCCAAGTTGTTATAGGATAATTATGAAATCCATGTTAATTTTGTGACTGCAGACTGGGAATCTATTGCAGATCGCACACCTGATGAATTGCTCTCATCACAATCTTTGCCTGAAGTATCACTCTCGTCACAATCTTTGCCTGAAGTATCAAAACTATCTTTGGAAGATACCAAAGTTCAGACCCCTAAGCGACGTGGAAGAGGAACATTTTCATTTAAGAAACATGAACTTTACAGTGATCAAGTGTCTGATAAGTTAATTGTTGATAATGATACACCAGACGATGAAAATGTGTCCCATAATTTGGAGGGGGATCCAAAAGTAATAAAATGTGAGTTACTTGTTTTCCATATTTCATTTGGATGGAACCAATATGCTATGTTCTCTTTTATATAGTGATGTTCCTTGGCTTCCAACCTGTTAATGATTCTGACCCAGAAAAGAAAATGTTGACGCCATATGAAAGTCTGCACGTTGGTTGAACATGAAAGAACTTCACAAGTAAATTATTTAATAAATCCTATAAAATTCTGGCTACTTTTTGTTTGTAATCATTGTCAAATAGCATCTAGGGGTTCTAGTCTGTAGGTTTAAATTTTATCTCAGATGGCATGCAGGAACTGAGTGTTTGTTCTTTGTGAATTCAGCAAAATATGGAACACAACATATTCTTGTTCTGGCTGACTTTCCACCAAGCACTACGACAATAGAGTTGGAGAAACTTTTTGTGGATATTAGAGATCCTGGAGTTGTTATTCGCTGGGTCAATGATACAGTTGCTCTTGCAGTTTTCCGAACACCGTCAATTGGTAATTACACAATTACTGAGTTTTTCAACTTCATAAATTTGGAGTTTATGATTAAATTTTAGAGATTCTTGCATTACAAACTTAGACGTGGATTTATCGGGTCTGCTAGTGTTGTTCATTATTTATGCTGCTCATGTTGTATGATGATGATATAAATGGCTGACCAAAAACAGTTGTACATTGTACTTAATGGACAAAACCGATGATTGATAATTTCACTTTTGTTCCAAGTTAGAACTCAAAAACCCCTAGATTTGGGAAGGAGTGTTTAACATTCAGACATGGATGTGTGTGTGATTTGATTCCATTTTTGGGCAGAATGAGGGTTGACTGTGATAATTAGTTGGTACTACCTGCAGTCATGGGACTCCTCATGCATGGTAAAAGTACAATGGAAACAAACGTAGCATCCTTCAGACATTGATCAAGAAGCTTCATAATGTTGAAATTTGAGCTACAGTAGGATATAGAGCAGTAAGTGCAGTTTCAAAACTGGTACAATCATTAACAATTATTATAATTGAAAAAAAAATAGGACATAGATACAACACTCAATGCAAGTTGAATTCTATATGGACCTTCTAGTTGTAGAGGCTAAAGAGAGCCTAACAATTGTTGGCCAACATTCTGTCTGCATATGTTTTGGAAGCAATGGTAAACCAACAATACTTATCAGTCACAATAAAGTTATGCAAGTTAAGGTGTGGTCTCAAGTGCTTTTTGAAGATGTTCATGGCTGGTGTATGCTGGTCATGGAAAATACCCTGTTATAAGAATCAGCAAAATTAAAATTGGTTTTTAGCAATATGAGAAAGAAGAGATTGCAATTTTTCCAGAAACGAAACGAGTGGATAAACTCCTTTTCAATCTTGAAATATAGAAAGTAGATGGAACAAAAGGGATGTAGAGAGAAACTGATGTAGGGTGGAGGTCAGGAGATCTTCCTTATGCATGTTTCGTGTGGTGGATTGGGGAGAACAGGTCTGTTAGAATTTTTGGACGAGAACTTTGGCTTTGAAAGCTATTGAGGAGCATTAGGTTGAGATATTTGGGGTTTTAGGCTTTATTTGGGAGGAACAGAGATCTGATTTGGGATAGCAAAGATACAGGAATTATAAACACAAATGTGCCACCATGGATCTCTGAAAGGTAAATTCAACAGTAACAAGAACAGAACGACACAAGGAAATCTGTGCCTCTTACAAACACTGAAGCTCGATTTCATTAATCAAACCCTAGTAAACAGGAAATTATAGAGGAAAATAGTATTTGTAATACCTAGTGCCTTTATTTTCATTCAAGTTCGAGGGCAGTTTATGCACTAATTCATGCTTATTTGTGTAGTCTGGGTGTTAAGCTGTACAAGACTTGTAAAATACTATCTAACTATATTACTGAAGATTCTCTTTGAACGAAATTTTATCTATCTTTTATTTTCGAGAAGTTTCTCTACTACCAATGACCACAGGCTTCTATTATCCCTTCTTTTTGTGTTCTAACTTGGTGGTAGTTGAGTTGCAAATCAATCTCACATTTTGACAACATCCCGTGTCTTAGATTAAAATGTTAAAAAGCTTTCTGCCTAGTAATCTTAAAATGATTTAAAAGAAAATTGTATATAGAGCTGTTTCATTTTTTCAAGCTGTTTAATTTTTTTTTCATTTTCAATGACAAATATGCTTAAATGGTGAAACGTTACTGAAACAGTTAGATATGGTGATGGCTTAATGTATGTTCTTTTGCTCCAATGTCTGTGTCATTCTTTTGTTGATTTCAAAATGTGATGATGGCTTAAGTGGAAGAAGATTATGGAGGAATAGATGTTTCAATCCTTTTACTAGGTTGTGTAGACTGGGATCTCTCTTTCTTGTTTAGCAATTGGACCTCCACGAAGCATTACATTTTACGCTTATTAAGCACACAATTGTGATTCATTGTCTGCGTTTAAGTTTCTGCTTTGCAGTTACTTTAATCATTTCATGATTTTAATTTTTATGCAGCACTCGAAGCTCTTAGCTGCGTTCGATGTTCTATGACAGTGCGAGTGCTTGATGAGAATGATTTCCTTTTGAGCTCAATTTCACCGAAAGGTAAAAAAAGCAACATGAACTTTTTACTGTTACACAATAATATTCTCTTACAACACAAAGGAGACCACTATATTTTTGTCCCCTTATCTACAAATATTGTTTGCCTCATACATTGTATTAATACTATTCGTTACTAGATCTGGAACCTCCTCGGCAAAGGCCACAGACATCAGCTAGAACTGCTCAGAGGCTCATTGCTCATGGAATGGGACTGAAACTACCTTCCACGGCCTTTGGATCAAAGGATTTAAAGAAACAGGAAGATGATCGAAAGAGCCGCATAGTCATGAGGCAAAAGTTGAAAGATGACGCTTGGGGTACAGATGAAGATTAATATTTTTCTTACATGACAAACACTTGCTCCGTTCCTTTTTGATCTGTATATGACCTCTGTAGCTTAAGGGGTCTCTGCATTTGGTCTTGTAAGCACACATAATCAATTTCAATGCTAGAAAAACTTGAGTGGCTTGGCTTGCATATATATGGTTTCGGAATGCGTGGTTGACTTAACTCGAAGAAATTGCATCTTATTCGATCTTTGTGTGTGTGTATCTGTACTACAACTGTTTTTTTTTATAGGACATATCTTGTAGCCAAAATAAAGTAACTTTTCGTACATTGTTGCAGCAAATTGTAAACTCCCAACCCTGGTTGTGGGAGGACGAATCACACTTTTACCACTTGAACTATACCTGCTACAATCCGAACAACGAACAAGAAACTTACATAGTCCGCACCTGAGGGATTGCAATTTAAATTAGTTTAATGTAGAATATCGCTCATATAAAGTAGACTACTTATTCCAACCATAATAAATCTGTTCAAATTAGTGATATAATGTACATCAAATACATTACTCTCCCTCGCTCAGGCTACACTGAGGGTATCCCTTAATATGCCCGACATTTTGTTAAGGAAAACTCCAAGAATACTAGAAAGTAAGCATCTCACACACACACACACACACTCTCTCTCTTTCTCTCCCTCTCTCTAAATGTTTTATGGTTGTTAGAGGTTGTAGGAGATGAACGACACTTTCTCACAACCACAAAGAACAAACGTAGGAAAACAGTTGCACTCCTCACCCATCGTTGCATGAAACTCCCATGCAACCACCAACCACAACCAAATCAAGTTTATCTCTTCTTCTCTTCATAATTCATATATGAAATGAAATAAGTGCGTAATTTGCATTACGTCTTAGACAAAATTGGATAAAACAACATTATTTTATTTTATTTTTTGTGGAAACAACATAATCTGATGAAAAATAATAATATTATTATTAATACAAAAGCAGCATTACCAATTTTTTTCACAAATTAACAAACATAAATACACATAACCATGCATTTAGCAGCCATGTTGTCTTAATTACTTAATTCTCCTGCGACAACCCCGCCCGGTTTTGATGTTGATTTCAGTGAAACAAGTTCATCCACTTGTCAGAATTTCGACAACAGACACACATTTCTTCATCTGGTTCGGAAACAAAAGGCACTTCTTTGTTTCAATCGCTCTTTTCGCTTTCCTCGTAAAAACAAAGAATGCCATAACCGAAATAATTTTGTGTTTCTTCAAATGGAAGATTCATAATTTTTGCTTTATCATCATTACATGATGCTGCATTGGTATTTTGATTCATTCCTTCATGATTTCAGCGTAAAAGAATTATTTGATCGTCGTTCTTGTTTAGCTTGCAAAATTTTACTGTGAAAGAGTGAATATATTCATGGAGACGTGAAATTGCAAAGAGTTAGTGCAGAAATGAGCAAAGAAAGTGGTAGTAGTGTGTATAAGGCATGGGAAGCCACGGTGCGCAAGACGCAGGCTGCAAGGAAGCGTGCTAACAGCATTTTCGGAATTTCAGTGGATCATGCAGACGATGATGATCATGACCATAGTAGCGATGAAAGTGATTGTGGCCCCGAAGATATGATATATAATGCAGATAGGATTCTTCCCAATGGAGACTACTACACCGGTCATTGGTGCGAAAATTTCCCTCATGGCCAAGGAAAGTACTTGTGGACCGATGGCTGTATGTATGTTGGAGAGTGGTTTAAAGGAAAAACCATGGGGAAAGGTAGGTTCAGCTGGCCTTCCGGGGCTACATATGAGGGCGAGTTTAAAAGCGGATACATGGATGGGAATGGTACATACACAGGGTCTAATGGCGATACTTATAAGGGACAATGGGTTATGAATTTAAAACATGGACATGGTACTAAGAATTATTCGAATGGGGATTGGTACGAGGGGGAATGGCGACGCGGGTTGCAGGAAGGTCAAGGCAGGTATCAATGGAAGGATGGGAACCATTACACAGGGGAATGGAAAAATGGAGTGATTTGTGGGAAAGGGGCATTTGTTTGGAGTAATGGGAATAGGTATGATGGAAATTGGGAAGATTGTGTACCTAAAGGGAATGGAACTTTCCGATGGCCTGATGGGAGTCTTTACGTAGGGAATTGGAGTAAGGATCTGAGCGAGCAGAACGGGACTTATTATCCATCCCAGTCATCATCGGACGCCAATCTTGAATGGAATCCTGAAGATGTGTACAATGTTGATTTGAAGAATTGTATAATTTGTCCAGGGGATAAGGTTTCGGTTTTGCCATCCCAGAAGAAGCTTGCAGTGTGGAGATCAGCAAAGGGTGAGAGTGTCAAGCCGAGAAGAATGTCGGTGGATGGAAGGGTAAGCGTTGGGCTGGATAAACCATTTGATAGGATGCAAATGTGGGATGGTAGCGCCCATGGCGGTGAATCACCATGTAATGCCGGTGATCATAGGGCTTCTACTGTCGGGGGAGAACTGGATGAAGATATGATGGGTCTGCATGTTGAAGATGGGAATCAAAGGGGACTCCCAATGAAGGTACCTAAGACTGCAAGGAGGCAGGGGGAAACAATCAGCAGGGGCCACAAAAACTATGAACTCATGCTCAATTTGCAGCTAGGAATCAGGTTTTAATGCATTATTAATTAACTTCAAACGATTTTATTGCACCTTCTCGTTTCTATCTTATCATTTTCGCTTGTCAAGACGTCGTGGATTTGATTCCTGTAGTCTAATGTGAGTCATTTGATGTATGTGGAATGATTTCATGTACAGGCATTCTGTTGGCAGACCAGGTCCCTCTGGATCCCTTGATCTGAAGCCTTCAGCTTTCGACCCCAGGGAAAAATATTGGACTAGATTTCCTTCAGAAGGCTCCAAATACACTCCGCCACACCAGTCCTGTGAGTTTAAATGGAAGGATTACTGTCCATTAGTCTTCAGGTCTGACCTTGTACACAACAAATATACATATGTCTTGCTGTTGCTGGTTTCCACAAAGTGGGGAAAACGTCACTTAATTTCACTAGATGTAACCGTTTATCATGTACAAATGTTTTTTTTTCTGTTCAGGACCCTTAGAAAGTTGTTCAACGTCGATCAAGCAGACTACATGTTATCAATTTGCGGAAATGATGCGCTTCGGGAACTCTCCTCTCCTGGTAAAAGTGGCAGCTTCTTTTACTTGACCAATGACGACCGCTACATGATTAAAACAATGAAGAAGGCAGAAGTTAAAGTAAGTTCTATTTGCACTCCCCTCATATTTTTCTCTCAAATAAACACTAGTCTTAACTGAGTACTTGGTTAATTTCCGTTTAACGGCGAATTAGGTGCTTATAAGGATGCTTTCAGCCTACTACAACCATGTTCGAGCATACGAAAACACTCTGGTCACTAAATTTTATGGTCTACATTGTGTAAAGCTAATGGGCCAACCTATTCAAAAGAAGGTACTTTCCAAGTATTGGTAGATCTATATACAACTAGTTTATACTTTTAGTTTTGAGTACCATTCACAATTTTCTTATGATCCAGGTGCGGTTCATCATCATGGGGAACCTTTTCTGTTCTGAATATACAATTCACAGACGTTTCGACTTGAAGGGATCTTCCCTCGGTCGAACAACAGATAAGCCTGAGACAGAGATTGATGAAATGACTATTCTTAAAGATCTTGATCTTAACTTTATATTTCGACTTCAGAAGACATGGTTTCAAGATTTTTGCAGGTGAACTGTTTTCTTTTTTGGCTCCATTGTTTTGCTAACATACTGGAACAACATGTTGAAGAATACAGTCCCACATCGGAAATATAACAAAATAATATATGTGGTGGGAGGTTCACTATGATATCAGTAAGGCCTTTTGCAACAAAACTCACACCTAGTAATAGGTGGTTAAGTTGGCGACATTATCGATAATGTTGTTGGTGGTGGTGGCCATGGGACGCTAAAATGTTTATCACGACAACAACTATTAAATATATGTACTTAAATGAACGTGTTTGGGTTTTTGCAGGCAAATTGATAGGGATTGTGAGTTTCTTGAACAGGAGAGAATAATGGATTATAGCCTGTTGGTTGGACTGCATTTCAGAAATATATCAGCTGCTGGGGATCTTATTCCTTCTGGAGCACACACTCCTACTGGTTGGTATTACTTTTTTTTTTTATATGAAGTCCTATATTTTCTTCATTTTTCATTAACAATTTGCCCATCATACAAGAGGCTGCTATGTTTTCTTTCCCTCAGGTGACCAAGAGAGCGAGGGAGCTCCCCGTCTTTCTCGAGCAGACATGGATCAACTTCTTTTAGATCCATCCAGGTCAAATCTCTCTCTACTTAAACCACTCATGATTGGTGCTTGAAACAAGTAAACATATATACATACATACATACATACATACATCCATACATACCTACATATATACATATATATATATATATATATATATATCAATCTCAGTATTTACAGAAAAAAGAACAACGGAGATTATGAAAACTTAAAATCGATTTAAGCTGCGAGAAATGCAAAACTAGTATGAAGCTTTTTATGGCGATTTGGTTTTGAGATGCAGGTGGGCTAGTATTAAATTGGGTTTGAACATGCCAGCAAGAGTTGAAAAGACGGAGAGAAAAACTGATTGTGAATTTCAACTTGTGGTAGATCCAACTGGGGAGTATTATGATGTTATAATGTTCTTTGGAATCATAGACATTCTTCAAGACTACGACATAAGCAAGAAGCTTGAGCATGCATACAAGTCCATCCAGTACGACGCAACTTCTATATCCGCTGTTGATCCGAGGCAATATTCGAGGCGCTTTCGTGATTTCATTTACAAAGTTTTTGCGGAAGAAACCACTTGAAACTTGAAATTAAGGAATTCTCTCTTCATTTCTTGACTAGCAAGAAAACTGTTCAAATTTCGACAGCAAAGTTTTATTTCGTAAACACGACGAGAGTACGTACATATTTCACTAAATTATAGAAATTGGTGTGCAGTATATAGTCCATTGATTCACCCTCGTAAAACTGTATCAGAATCCAGATTTTTCTGATGATTTTTAATCTATTTCTTCGTCTCTATCTCTGATATTGAGAGATAGAGAGGTTTATGGGAGGGACTTGTAGCATTTGCATTTGTATCCAATTGGATACTGGAAAAGTGAATTTTTGGTTTAAAGATAATGTTTGTTATTTCTAAACCATTCTTTTTGTCTGATTAAATTAGTTTTTTAGTTCAATTTCTCACCATTCTCTATTTTTTTTTTCTCCCTTTATTTTCTGTTCGTTCTCCCTCTTTTTTTAACTTCTTGATAGGGTTCATCTTGTTATCCAAGTAGCCACATTGTATTGGTTTCGAAAGCTTCAAAGTAATTTAGATTACAAAAATCCAAAGTTTAGGAATACAAAACAGTTGGAGTCAGGACCTTCCAAAAAAACAATCATATTTGTATCAAACACAATAATATGATTGTTGTTCTAACTATTGTATCAAACACATTTTAGATTGGGGATATAATAAGATGACTGTTGTTCTAACTACTACTTCATACAATAATACTTCATACGATATGAATGTGTTATAATAAGTTTCGGGGTGGGAAAGTCAAACTTTAGATTTTTAATTTTTGTGTCATTTAAAATTTTCTTTTTAAGTTAATATTCATAAATTATTTTAAATGTTAGAACAAATTGACAAGGTGAAGGTTAAAATCCCACGTAGAGTCTTTTCTATTTATTTTGCTTAGACACTAATTCGTGAGTTATGCTTTGAAGATTTCACATTCACACCAACATGGCTTGTGAGGAATGAGATTGGAACCCTTATTTTTTGTCCGATTAAATTAGTTTTTAATTTTTGTTCTACATAAAGTAAATTTTAGTTATTGTTATAAATAAAGTAATAATTGTTCCACCTGAAACTTTGCTTAGTAACCTGTTGACCCTAAAAATTACAAAACCTACGTGGCGCGCAAGCCGAGTAACTAATAAGCTAACTATGTCCTTCAATTGTATGCGGGGCGTGCTAACTCGTCGGCCGAGCTCGGCCGAGGAGTAAAACTTGTTGATGTTGCGTTGCTGACTTCTTGATCAGGAACACGTCTTGGCCTTCGTGTTCTAGAGCCTAAAGACAAGGCTGCTAGTTTTGCGAAGTTCAATATCAAATTCGGCTCTCAAGGTGTCGAATGAAGTAACCTGGTAACATCTCACTTCGCCGAGAAGGCTAATGAGATGACCTCTGCCAATAAGTTCAAAAATCCTTCTCAACTGAGACTTGGATAGATAACCAGTCGGCCTCGACGGAGTGCTGTTTATCCAAACTGAAGGTGCTTTGCGGTCGGCTGATTCTACAGCAACAGTGCTGTTTATCCAAACTGAAGGTGTTCGCCAGTTGCCTTCACAGTGTTGTTTATCCAAACTGAAGATGTGTCGGCAGAAAAAGAAGAAAAAAAAAATTTCAAGGTGTTTGAGAGGTTTGCGCAGGGTAGTTGTGTGTTGAATTGGAGGTCCCTTTTACGTTGCACAGCGCCTTGTATTTATAGGGTTGATATTTGCTTTGCACGGTCATATAATGTTGCAGAGTTTAATTGCAACTCTAATTCCTAAAGTTGATCCGCATCAAAAACCATGACATATCCTTCAAACTGAGTCGTGGGATTTGTTCCAAGACTTTTCAAACCTAATAAAAGTCCATCTAGGCTTATCATATCATATTTGTAGCCCACCTAGGCTTCTCATAAAAATCTATCAGTAGCCATGCTTTATCTGATCATCAAAACATCATAGAAAAAGGGCTAGCCTACTTAGGTTCCTTGCGTCACAACTATAAACTATAACTTACCTAGCATTACTTGTGCGTCCACAGCACCAAACATACATATATGCAACTACTAATGCATAAATAAATAGGCAAACGCTATGCATGGCATTTAAAACATATAAACATTCCATATCATTTTCTGGGAAAAACCACAAGTATATAGGTATATATGGAAAACCCAAAAGCCCACTCACTGATATGTGGAAAGGTCATAACCCCCTTGCCTCGAGTGATTACGCTTGTCCTCGGGATAGGTCTCACCTATATGCGAAACAACTATAAAAACGTCAATTTAAAGCACATAACCAAAACTAGGTAATAACTTCTCATAAAATGCTCAAATGGGGTGTGTGAATACACCAACATGATCTACTCAACCTTACTGAACATCCCCATATTTTTAAAATAATTTTTCGACCACTCACGCGCCAGCCACGCGTAGACACGTGCTGGCACACAGACAGAATCCCTAACGGCGTTAGGAATATTCCATCCAAAAGCAAGCATATTCCGTTAAAACTAACCTGACGCCGTTAACTGCCGTTAGGAATATTCCATCAGAGTTGATGGAATATTCGTCGTCTGTTCCGGTGAGTCTCGCCGGCCGCCGCCGTCTGCAACTCGAATTCTCGTCAGAAACTGGAAAATTTTCAAAACTTCATATCTTCTTCATTTCTCAACCAAATTCCATGAAATTGGTACCAAAATGAAGCTTACACGAAGAGTAGAACAAAACCTTACTGCTTTGAAGCCCTAAAACCAACAGAATCTCGTCGGAAAAACCCACGATATTCCGGCCAAACCTGCAACTCATAGAAACTGGGCTTCTCGACGTCCAAAACGCTTCAACTTTCTTCCTCAAGCTTCGTGAGAGTGATCTAAAGCTTCCTATGACCTTAGAAGCTTCTAAAACCCCCACGATCACGTGTGCATGAACAGTGCACAAAATCGAGATTCCCTGGTTCTCGGGTTTTCGAGGGTTTCATGTCCAACAATTGGTATGGATGAGTTCCTGAGCTTGCTAAGAGTCCAAAAATCCACCTTCAAACCTTCGATCCGTGTGTAGATAGTTGTCTTGGAAATGGTCCGTACACCTTGTAAAGAAAATGGAAGAAGTCTGAGAGAGAAGAGAGAAAGAAAGGTCACGGGAGTGTGGTATGGGTGTGTGTGTGTGTCCTGAAGAGTCAACCACCAAAAACAACAAAACAACACCCCACAACACCAATTAACGTCCAAGGGCATTTTAGTCTTTTCGCACCTACAATACAAATAATTCGGGACGGGCTGTCACAATAAAAACTTGAATAGTATTAATTGGATACAATAATATTATTGAATTTCCCATATAGCTTAAAATTTCTCAAATCCTATAATCTAAATACTTTTGCCTACTTAATATACCTCTTTTTTATTTTGGTTTTGTATTGAATTTTACTGTTTTGCAATTTGAAAGTTTTATGTACATTACTGAGTTTGAATATTTTTATATAGGTGATTTAATTTTTCTTTCATTTGAAACAAAAAAAAAAATGTGATCTTCTATTTTTCTGACATTTTTTACTTCATGTTCTTATATTTTGCATCTCAGAGGGGCAGATACACTCATGAATCCTAACCGCCTTGCATAGGAGTAAAAAAGATTGTCCACAGACAAAGGTAAAAAGATTCTTAATCTTTCGTGAGGTTTTCCATTATTGTTAGACTATTTATTAGATTTTTGGAGTCTACATAATTTACAAAAACTATAACTGGCAGATGGTTTTATACTTGACCTAATTGTTAAAATTATGTCATGACGAGGCTGAAAAAGCTGGGCGATTTACTTCCAGTACGTTCTTCCAACTCAGTTCCAGTTCTCTCTCGCCGGTTTTCAAGAAGCACAGCGTGAGTTCCTCTTTTTTTTTTTTTTTCTTAATTACAGAGCATTCAATTAGCATGTGTGATTGTATTGTTAACATAAAGAACCTCTTTAACTTTTTGATTGTTTACTGATCAATTGCAGGTAGATTGTTCTATGCTCACAGAACTTGCCTGCTTGCTTCCTCACATGCCTTCCGTGCAATTTTTGATAGTGGTATGATTTTCTAATTTCTCCATTGCAACATTTTCTTTTTCGTTTTTGCAGTGTATGCACTACAAAAGTAATATAGTGGGTGTAGGTTTAGGGGTTAAAGAATTTTCAACATGAAATCAGAAATGAGGGTTTTGCTTAACCACTTTTATTTACTGGTTTTTATTCGAATCTATAGCGCTGAGGATATAGGTGAGCCATGAAGCAATTTGGTTGGTTTCGTGCATTTTAAACATGTTGGGAGAAGTATACTAAATGATTTTTTTTCCCTGTTTGTTTTTTTTTTTTTGTTTTGTTTTTGTTTTTTTTTTTTTTGTTTTGTTAGAGATTGAAGATGTAAGCATACTAAATTGGAAGCTCAAATATTGAACAACATGATTTACTTCAAACCCCACTGTATTTCTTTGGCTCTTTTTTCTTGGTGAGAATTGGAATTTTTATTTATCTTTCGAAACTCTAAACTGATTGTTCTTCTCATATGAAAAATGAGCATTTTTATAAGCCAATTAAAGGCTCCCATGATCAGAAACCTAACCAATGTATTTATCTTGAATAGATGACTTAAGGAAAAATGTAACATCCCACACCGCCCAGAGGAGTGATCCTTATATGTTTATTCCCATCTCTACCTAGCACGAGGCCTTTTGGGAGCTCACTGGCTTCGGGTTCCGTAGGAACTCCGAAGTTAAGCGAGAAGGTGGCTAGAGCAATCCCATGATAGGTGACCCACTGGGAAATTGCTCGTGAGTTCTCAAAAACAAAACCGTGAGGGAATGGTAAGCTCAAAGCGGACAATATCGTGCTACGGTGGTAGAGTGGGCCTGGGAAGTCAGCCACCCCGGGCCGGGATGTGATAATTGGTATCAAAGCCTAACTCTGGTCGCGTGTGTGCCGACGAGGATGTCGGGCCCCTAAGGGGGGTGAATTGTAACATCCCACACCGCCCATGGGAGTGATCCTTATATGTTTATTCTCATCTCTACCTAGCACAAGGCCTTTTGGGAGCTCACTAGCTTCAGGTTCCGTAGGAACTCCGAAGTTAAGCGGGAAGGTGGCTAAAGCAATCCCATGATGGGTGACCCACTGGGAAGTTGCTCGTGAGTTCTCAAAAACAAAACCGTGAGGAAATGGTAAGCCCAAAAGCGGACAATATCGTGCTACAGTGATGGAGCAGGCTAGGGAAGTGAGCCGCTCCGGGCCGGGATGTGACAAAAAATGTGCATCCTCATCTACAGAAAAACAAATAAGAAAGA